GAGTGAAAGAAAGAGAATAACCAAGGAGACTTTTAGACTTTTACTGTAAATAACTGGGCAGAAGGTGGTACCAACTAAAATAAAAAAGGCTGCTAGTTGCCTCTCATTGTTCTTCCTTTTCAAAGTTTTCCTGATTATCTTTTATTTTTCCATATTAAACTTAGTATCAAATTACATACTTCCAAAAGTCCACTTTTATTGGACTTTAATTATATTTGTAATGAATATAGGTAGAATTCTAATCTTTATGATATTAAACATTCCTATCCAAGGACATGGTTTATCTTTCTAGTTTCTTGGTCTTGTTTTGGTATTATTCTGGAGATTTTCTTTTACTACATGGATTTTGCACATTTTTTGTTAAGCTTATTTTAAGTATTTTACCTTTTGTACTGCTATTATAGTGGGGCCTTTTCTTACAATGTATTTTCTAAGATGTTATATATGAAAGCAATTTACTTCTGTATATTTGATTTTACTTGATTAATTTATGGAATTATCTCAATGTTTCTTATAGTAGTCTAGTTTTTTAGATTTATCAAATACATTTTAACTTTTATAGTTTTTTTCTAGTTTCATTTGTTTATTGTTCTTTAATTTCTGAAGTTAAATGATTCATTTTATTATTTCTGTTTTATTGATATAATAATTTGTCCACAATTTTTTAAACATATTTATTTCTATGTTTATTTTATAGGATCTAATATGAAATGTCTTCATTATAAATCTTTCTAAAACTTTTGCAATTTTTTTTTATTTTGACCCAATAATTATTTAAAATAGAATTTTTAAAATCTTCCAGTAGAAGGGTCTCTTTATGAAGGATATTTTTTCCGATTTTGTCAATAATTATAATTTTGTTGAGTTGTAATCAAATAAAATTATAGTCTATCTAATTATTACTTTTTGGTATTAAATTTTCTTTGTAACCAAGTTTATACCATTTGCATGAGAAGAAAATGTATTATTTTCTGCGTTTGATATAGTCATATATCTATCATTCGTTAAGTTATTGACATTTTCTGTATCCTTGATCTGTCATGAACTGAGAAAGTTATTCAAAAATAAATTAAACAAATACAATATATTTTGTTTCTATATGTATCTCCTGTAATTTCTGCTTATAAGAATTCTATTTCTTTTTCTTATGTATTTATTATTTTTCTATCTTTATTTGAATCACTCTTTTACTTTATAATATGTGCTTCTTTGTTTTATTTAGTGCTGACTTTTTGTTTGACAAAAAGAATTATTTTTTGGCATTTTCCTGCTACATGTTTGCTTTCAACATTTCTGAATTCTGAATAACTTTGTTTTATGTGTATAATATATATTGTATAGAATTAGCAAAACATATAATTAGATTTGGCTTTGTAAGTCAATTTGAAAATATCGTTCTTTTACATAAATGACTTAGGGAAATTTATATTTGTTTTTAAGATAAGTATATATGGTACAACTATTATTATTTTCTGTTCTGCTTAATGTTTTTTTTTTTTTTACAATTTTTTTCTTTGTGCATTTAAAAAATATTTAAGAAGGTTTCCCTTACCTTAATAATTACAACATTATATAGTACTCTTAATTCTCTATTTATTTATAGGGTGGCTACTGATACTCTAGTAAAATAAATAAATGATAAAATTTTTTATTTTCTCCCCTCATTCCATTTCTTTTGTCTCCGACTTACTATTTGGCAGTAAAAATTATTTGAAAATATATTTTTGTAATTTTTTACTTTATACTTTTAAATATTCTTATACTTTCATTATCTGATTGGTCAGCTTTTAAACATTTGTTGATTCCTATTATTATATATTAAGGAATCAACAAACTTTCTCATCTTTGCCCTTTCTCATTCTAATTTTGTTAGTTGCATTATTTCTGCATAGTGAAAGCAAAGACCATTTACATTTGTCTGCATTTTAGTCTGTTTTGTTCTGCCACAGCAGATTATCACAGACTGGGTAATTTATGAAGAATAGAAATTTATTTCTGAACAGTTACAGAGGTTGAAAGTCCAAGATCAAGGTGCCAGCATCTGGTGAGGGCCTTCTTACTGCATCATCTCATGATGGAAAGCAGAATGGAAAGAGAGGGCAAGAGCAAGACAGAAGTGGGCTGAACTTGTTCATTTAGAAGGAACTCACTCCTGCAATAACAGCATGAATCCATTGATGAGGGCAGAGGACTGGTGTCCTAATCACCTCTTAAAGGTTTCTCCTCTTAATATTGTTAGATTGCAATTCCATTTCAACATGAGTTTGGGAGAGGACAAACATTCAAACCATAGCAGTTTGTCACCCCAATCCTCACACTTTTTTAAAGTCTTGGTCCTATAATTATAATCAAAACGTTCAGCAGTCCTTTTGCTAGTTTCCTCAGACATATTTTGATTAAGTAAACTCTGTCTTTTAGCATGTTCCTTAGGAAATACTTACGGGAACAATATTTCCTGAATTCTTGCATTTTCAAAATTGTTTGCAACTTTTAATCTTGGAGATAGATTTGACTGGCAATAAAATCCTTTACTATCATTTTTTTACATGAATCACTTGTAGATACACAATGAGATGCCATCATCTCACACCAATCAGAATGACTATTATTTAAAAAGTTAAAAAATAACAGATTCTGGCGAGGTCGTGGAAGAAAAAGAATGTTTTTACACCATTGGTGGGAGTGTAAATTAGTTCAACCCTTGTGGAAAACAGCAGGGTAATTCTTCAGAGACCTAAAAACAGAACTACCGTTGAACCCAGCAATCCCATTCCTGAGCATACACCCAAAGGAATATAAATTGTTCTATCATAGACACATGCACACATTCATTGCAGCACTATTCACAGTCACAAAGACATGAAATCAACCTAAATGCCCATTAATGGTAGACTAGATAAAGAAAATGTGGTGTGTTTGTGTATATATACACACACACTACACACACACACACACACACACACACACACCCACACCATGGAATACTATGCAGCCATAAAAAAAGAATGAGATCACATCCTTTACAGGAACGTGGATGGCCATTATCTTTAGCAAATTAATGCAGGAACAGAAATCCAAATACTGCATGCTGTCACTTATAAGTAGGAGCTAAATGATGAGGGCAGATGGACCCAGAGAGGGGAACAACAGACACTGAGGCTTACTGGTGGGTGGAGGTTGGGAGGAGGGAGGGAATTACGAAAACTAATTAATGGGTACTAGGCTTCATACTTTAGTGATGAAATAATCTGTACAATAAACCCTCGTGACATGAGCTTACCTATATAGCCAACCTGCACATGTACCCTTGAACTTAAAATAAAAGTTAAAAACACATAAAAATAAATAAATAAGTATTTTTGTATAATATTTGGTCATAATGTTCAACTTTTCCATGCCATTTTTTTGAGTTTATTGGTACATTGCTAAGTTCTTAAATTTTTTTATCTTTATTTTGCCTTTTGTCTTGGTTCTGACACTTTTTAAATGTATCTTTTTATTGAAGTTTTTAAAATTTGCATATGGTAAAATTTACTCTTTTTGGTGTGCAGTTTCATTAATTTAGACAAATGCATATAGTCATCTATTAAATTAATTAGTCTAACACCACTAGAATCAGAACAGCTTCATCACTCCCCAAATTCCCGTGGGTTTGCCCTTACATACTATCCTTTTGTTGATGCTGTGTCACATCCATTTTTATTACTCATCATTGAATGAGTTGGATGTTTTTAGATCTACTATTTACAGGACACTTCTGCTGGGGGTTAGAGGAGGTCCTGTGCAGCCTTCTGACTCCTTTATTACTTTCACAGAGTCAGATTGCTTTCTTCTAAAATAGCCCCTCTATGTAAATGTGTTCCCACCCACTCTAAACTATACTGGGTCCCGGAAGTCTCTTCTGTCTTTATTTCTTTCCTCACTGCCCCAATTAGGAAAGCTATATTTTTTTGCACTTTGGGATAAACTTTTCATAGAAGTGTATTTTTGCAGTCAATTTCAGAGATATGCCACTGCCGGCCTTGTTGTCATTCTCCTCATTTCTTAGATGCCTTTCTCCCTGTATGGTATCTACTAATTGCTGCTTTTGGTAACTCTTAACATGTTTTTGGAGTCTGTAGAAATTAGGTCTTCCAGTTTTTCTAAAAATGGTGATCATGTAACTTTTGTTGTTTTGGTTAACTGTGTAGCATTTGCACATCTTCCAGAAGACAAGATGCAGTCTTAGCCATATTCTTACCAGAAGTCCTCTTAACTGCTCTTTACCACCAACTTTCCCTCACTCCCCTTTCATGGCTCACACTTTAAATATTGGAGTCTCTTGCCTCTCTTGTTCATTCATCACTTCCTTAAGGTTTTCATATAAAAACTTCCTGTGATGTACCTTAACCTATGACAAAAAATTTCGCTATATTCTGAATACCCACTTTCAAAGTTGGTTAGTTTTTTCCTACTATTCTTTAGCTTGGAATGCCTTTTTCTTCCTTACCTGATTGGAATACTTCTGCTCATGCATTAAGACCTAAAAAATGTATTTCCTCCTTTAGGAATCCTTCCTAGACACCTTCTCAAGACAGAATTAATCCCTCAGTTATACTCCCATAATATATTGTCCCATTTTTTTGTTCACTTATCTTGTTGCTTTTAGTATTTGTTTGCCTGTCATTATGAAGACAGTGAGTATCCTGTATCCTAATGTATTAACCAGTCAACACAGAATTTTCAAACTTTTTGTTTCAGGGACTCTACTCATAGCTCTCCGATGATGATCGGCACTTACCCTGATTTGGTCTCATTTGATTTTCCTTTCATTTAATTGAAGGGTACAATATTTTGGTTCCTCTTGGTTTTCTGGTCTAGCTTTTGTGCTCAATGTGATTTAGTCATGTCAAAGTAGCTTTTCTACTCTTAGGAAATAAGGGAAACTCTTATAGGTTTAGAGCATTTGTAAAATTTTTAAAAGTTCAGTAATCATTGATAGAAATTTTTCTGTATTCCAGGTGATGCAACTGTGACAATAGCTCACAGATACACCCCCAAAGAACAACTGAAGATTCATACGCAGCTGGCAGATATTATCATAGTTGCTGCAGGTAAGTCCTTAGTGACTGTTATTTTTTGGAATGTCATCAGCAGAATAATTCCTGTCCTAAATGCTGCCATGTTTGAAAGCTTTTTGAGAGAGTTAGGTGTATGTATGACTAACTTCTGTTGATTGGATTGTGTCTCTTGGCAATCATTGTATCAGTCCATTGTGCCTATGTTAGCATTTGTTACTTCATTATGGAAAACCCAAACAGCTTTTGGGATGACAGATTAAGCACAAGAACAATGTGCACTTTGCTAATTGCTTTGACAAACATGGTTTAACAGCATTTACAGAAAAAGGTTGGTGCAGGTAAATAATACATTATAGCTATGGAGAACAATAAAACTGGTACTTTCAAGTTGTATCAAGGAACATAGAATGTTCAGGTGAGGGGAACAGATAGTCACTATGCTGCCCTAAACACAGTCAGGCTGAAGAATTATGTTCTGAAGTCTAGACTTTAGGGGAAAAGTTGATGGATGAGACCATGTCCAAAGGAGAGTATCTGGGATAAGAATCTTTCCAAAAAAGATGACATGAAATTTGGTCTGATGAGCTGAGGATGTTTGGTCTGGAAGAAAGAAAGTATTACCTAAAGAGATACAACAACTTTTTTTTTTTTTAACATAAAGAAAAAAACTCAAGCCCAAACTTTTATAATAATAAAAGCTGCCTCAAAGTCACCAGTTCTTGAGATAGTAAGTTCCTTATCTCTACAGTGATTAACAAAATAGATAAAAACAAGTGGGATTTCATAGAGCATTATTTGCCAATGTTTATTGGATTTTGCCCCATTTTGGTTGACAAAAAAATCATCCTCTTTCAACATTATCAAAATATTTCAATAAATTCAACAACATAGCTAAAAATTCATGTAAACAGTTGTAATTATTTTGAACATATGTTCTTTGGAGAAGGAATTACTTCTTTCTTTACTCCCTACCATTTAAAGGACCATTGTAGATAATGTCTATGTACTGAGTACTAGGTTGGGTTCATTGCATTTTAATGCTTCCTTCAATGATGAAACTCTTTCTCTATTTTAATATGTAAAAGAAAGCTTTATGAAATATATGTATATGTATACTTATATTTCATAAGATTAAATTTATTTAAATTTATTTGTGTTTTCATACAGGGTAAGTTAACAAGAAAGATATTTTAGAACATAGAAAAGGCTGGAATATGGGGCTTGTGTATGGATAATTCACTTACAGATATTTGAGAGTTTATCATGTGCTCTGATTTTAATTAAACGTGTACTGTTGAATAGCAAAGATAGTACTAAATTCATTCATTCATTCAATAAATATTGGACCCTTCCTATGCAGCAGTATCTGTTTTAAATTTTAGGAATATAGCAATGAATACAAATGATGAAGTGCTAGCCCTCATAGAACTTACATCTTAGTGGGAGAGAGAGCAAATAAACAGTAAAATATAATATCAGATAATGATAAGTGCTATAATGAAATTGGCTGAAGAAATAGTGTTTTGGGGATACTGTTTTAGATTGATTGATTGGTGAAGATCTTTTTTGGGAGGTGACCTTTTGAGTAGAGTTCTTGTCCTGGCCATTCTCCATTTGTCCACCAACCCCAGTGTTTGCCTTTCCCTGTCCTGGTCTGGCCCTGAGAGGCTGACTAATGAAGATGGACTCACCTGTGTTCCTTTGACACTGGCTCCCAACAAGGTTTGGCACTAGTAGGATATCTGAAGGAGAATAAGAGAAACGTCAAGTCATGGTGTTTCTTCTCTACTCTCTTCTTCTTCTACTCTCTTTCTCCTTTCTCCTGCATCGATAGCTTTTGCTCAGCATCCTTTCCCCAACAGCTAAGGCTCTCACCGGGCTGCAGTAACACTGTTTCCTCCCTTACCCCTACAGATCTAGGAATGGTACAAGCTTCCTCCAGTTTCTAATCTCTAAGAGTGGCAACAGCTTTTATTTTTCTCTTACCCTGAATATATCTCTGTAAAAATTATTTGATTACTGTATGTGGTAGATTCTGCTTGCCATGGAGATACTGACAGAAGCAGATCTGTATGAAATAAAGGCACAAATCAAGAACCATTCCTGGGGAAGAGCATTCCGAGCAGAGGGAACAGCACATACCAAAGTCCTTAAGCAGGAGCATGCTTGATGTGTTCCAGAACACAGGTCTTTGGGGATTTATTATATTACTCTGATTTTACTTAAATATTAATAAATTATGAGGATACTAGCAGGAAATGTTGTTGGGAAGGTAGCCAGGGTTAGCTCATGTAGGACGTTGTTGGCATGGTTAGGATTTTGATATAAGCCAAGAACGACTGACAGCAGATCAACATGGTCTGACTTAGGTTTTAAAGGAGTGATCACACCTTTAGAAACGTGTCAGACCTTATGTCTGCAGTTGCGTCAAGAACTGACTCTAGGGGGTGAAAGTAGAAACAGAGAGGAAAGGTATTGCAATTTCATTTAACGGATCTAGATTTTGCTGTAATTTGTTTTGTATTTGAACACATAGTTTCAATCAAATTTAATAAAATATCTGATTCTTCTGTAGGCCCTTTTCTGGAACCTAGAATGTGTACATGACTGCAGGAACAATAATTGGCTCCTAATACAGTAAAAATAGAAATGTTCTTTTTCCCAGAAAAAAAAAAAATCAGTAAGCTGGTACAGATAACCATACCACATTTCCTCTTTTTCTGAGAAATTATATTTGGGTGATATCAAATGCAAATTTTTGAACTGCATTGACAGAAGTCAGGCATGTTTAGAGAATTAGTAAACTTTTTCAGACCACAGATCAACATTAAGTGAAATAGTGTTTCAGCTACTGATGCCTTCATGGCAGATAAATACTATACTGATTTCTTTTTATAGACACTTGTGTTCACACACAAGACACAGAATTTGTTGAGTAAAGAGGAATTTGAATGCTCATCTTTATCCATTTCTAACCTTAGGCAGAATGAAGTTTACATTATCCTTAAAAGGTATTATTTGACTAATGTTAACAACTTATACAGAATATTTGACAATTACCCTTAGACAACATTTATCAAATATAATATTGAATGAATATTTTATGCTAGTGGAGGAAAATCTCTCAGCATGCCTTCCTACTCATAGTTTGTTTTATTATTATGACAAATGGCACATGGGTGGTCACAATCCACTTGCAAGAAACACTGATATTCTCTTGTGATTAAGTCAAAGCTTACACCATAATGCCAACACTGTTGTCCTCCTTGAGTTTATCCTCTAGCTTCATTTGTAAAGACCTAAATCAGCATTGAGTCCAGATATTTAAAAAGAAGACAGGAAAAGGAAAAGAAAAGGAAAATAAAGGAAGAGAGGGACAAGGAAGACTCAAGCCTATATAAAATAAACAAGACAGAAGCCAGGAGGTACTCAAGCCTCTAGGTGTGGTGGGTGTTGAGGCTCTCCCACAACCATCCCGTGAGGGTATTTTCTTACCACCAGAGGGCGCCAGTCAGGTGAGCCGCTACTTCAGATGTAGCCAAGTTGGCCACACACCATCCTAATCCTAGTTAGAAGACATTTTAAACAAAGACAGTGGGAACAAGTCCTGTTCCTTGCTTTTTTATTTCACCTTTAATGCCTCTTACTAAATACAAAAGTATGTTGAACGTAGAAGACAGATTTGTATATAGTTCTGCAGTCTTCTTGAAGAAATAAATATTTAGCCAATGGGAAATTTAGGGCCAGAAAATTGAGAATTTATAAGAAATAACTAAAGACTGCTACAAGTCCAGTTAATTAATAATCACCTGGAAAAGTTAGGGATAAAACATGTAGATATTTATAAATTATAGAAAAAAATGTGAGTGAATATAAAAAAGAAATCCCATATAACCAGACAATAGGAATAAAGTATTACCAGAATGACCATATCATGCATTGTGTGTGGGAAATAAACAAATACAAATAGCAGTGGGTATTTAAAAAGGAGATAGTGATCTAATGCAGAGGTAGCCAGAACGGGGAGGGCTAGATCACTGTCATAATGAGAATGTCAGCATATATGGAAACAACCTCATCTAGGAGAACTCAGAGTAGAAGGAGGAGGATTGCGTGATATATATCAGAAAGAATAATGTCTGAGACATGAGAATGAAGAATGTGGTGATGAAATCTTGATGCGAGCTTGAAAAAAGTAAAAGAGGAAATCCTGTGTGAAGATCCTGAGACATGAATAATATTAGCTTATGTTAATATTAATGTCATCCCTCCAGTTTCTCATAGTACTAATCCTACAGGCTTAACTATATATCACTCACCTTTTTAAAATTGCCCCCCAAAATTGAGATTTAGACTCAGTTAGAAGCTTAGATCTGCAGAATCAGACCCTGTCACACTATGCAATTAGAAGTAAGAAGCTTCAAGTCCCTACTCAATGCCACATCTCTGAGTTCACAGAGAGAGTTAACAAGTTTCCAGGGTACTTTAGTGTACCATGGTTATAGCACATAGTACCTGTTTATAGTTGTTATCTTCATCAGACTACAGCAGGGAAAGGGCTGTTTTTTTTTTTTTTGTTTTTTGTTTTTTTAAGTTTGCTAGGTACGTGCTTAGAACAATATGTAACACATAGTGGTTGCTCAATAAATGTGAGCTGCGTTGATTTTGAAATTATAACTAAAATAAGGACTTTTTCAAATTGATACACATTTAGTCGATATATTTTAAATATAATATAATTTTTTTAAGATGGAATTATTCTAGTTGTTGGATTTATATAGTGTAGCATTATTTTTGGGAACTACCAGATATTTCCAGTTGGTCATAAAGTAGTTGCTAAAGCAATAAAAAGTGAAATATTCATTAATGAAAGAGTAGTTCATGTCATTAAGTGTATGAATGGAGTGATTTAGGTGTAAATGTTAAGATTAAGAAATGATGGGAAAGGGGGCTGCGCACAGTGGCTTACACCTGTAATCCTAGCACTTTGGGAGGCTGAGATGGGTGGATTGCCTGTGATCAGGAGTTCAAGA